GTACCCATTAAAAATATATATATATACCATCTCATATTGCAGGGTGATCTCATTTGCTGAAAGGGGGGGGGGAATATTTCCCATTTACTCTCTGTCACAATAAGATCAGAATTCATTTAGATAAAAAGAGAATAGAATTAATTGATAACCACAGGTATTTAAAAGTATGAGCCTGTTCTTTCTTTGCATTGTTAAATATATTCGGATCTCAGTATATGTACTAAACAGGTGTGGCTGATCTTTTTAATATATTCTAAAGAGTTAAGATAAGAATTGAACTACCAAGTACAGCTAAGTAACAAATTTCTTGAGAAATGTCAATGGGAAAGGGCAACAATTATTGAAATATTTCCATTCTATTTCCATTCTAGAAGTAATTTCTACCCCTGTTGAGTTACACTATTTATTTAAATTTAAATATTCAGCTACAATATTCCGCTCAAATGTTATCATTCTGATAAAATAAAGTTACTGTTATTAGCTATTACTTAAATATTTTTGTCAATAAAAATTAAGAATATTTTCTTTATAACCAATAGTATACCAATAATAATAATTTTAATTTTATAATTTTAGTAATAATTAGTATAAAATTATAATTTTAGTTTCTCTGTCGGAGTGTGGTTTTTGGATTAATTAAAGCCAAGTAAATGATAGCCGAAATTTCTGTTATTCTGAAAAAATAAGGTTACCAATAATAACAATCACTTTTGAAAAAAGTATTTTTTTCCCCTTATAAATAATAATAGATTTAGTTTTTTTGCAGTTAGGATTTTGAATAAATAGGAACCGAATGAATGATAAGAGAAGTTTCTATATCACGCTTGTTTCATGTTTATAAATATTAACAGAGCCTGATTATCACCCAGACCAAAAGGTCTAAGCTAAATTTCCAAGTAAAGGCAAAAATTTATATTAGAGAAATCATCAAAATTGTGAAGAAAAAAATTTTCACCTGATATTTNTAAAAGTATGAGCCTGTTCTTTCTTTGCATTGTTACATATATTCGGATCTCAGTATATGTTCTTAACAGGTGTGGCTGATCTTTTTAATATATTATAAAGAGTTAAGATAAGAATTGAACTACCAAGTAGAGCTAAGTAACAAATTTCTTGAGAAATGTCAATGGGAAAAGGCAACAATTATTGAAATATTTCCATTCTAGAAGTAATTTCTACCCCTAATGAGTTACACTATTTATTTAAATTTAAATATTCAGCTTTAATATTCCGCTCAAATGTTATCATTCTGATAAAATAAAGTTACTGTTATTAGCTATTACTTAAATATTTTTCTCAATAAAAATTAAGAATATTTTCTTTATAACCAATAGTATACCAATAACAATAATTTTAATTTTATAATTTTAGTAATAATTAGTATAAAATAATAATTTTAGTTTCTCTATCGGAGAGTGGTTTTTCGATTAATAAAAGCCAAGTAAATGATAGCCAAAATTTCTGTTATTCTGAAAAAATAAGGTTACTAATAATAACAATCACTTTTGCAAAAAGTATTTTTTCCCCTTATAAATAATAATAGATTTAGTTTTTTTGTAGTTAGGATTTTGAATAAATAGGAACCGAATGAATGATATGAGAAGTTTCTATATCACGCTTGTTTCATGTTAATAAATATTAACAGAGCCTGATTATCACCCAGACCAGAAGGTCTAAGCTAAATTTCTAAATAAAGGCAAAAATTTATATTAGAGAAATCATCAAAATTTGAAGCAACAGGTTTAACCTTGGAAGTTTCAAGAACAACCATTTTAAACTACTCTGAACCGCAATTAGACATCAACTTATTTAACGAAACATAAATAATACAAAATTAACTGTAATTACTGATTGTCCTACTTTTTATAAAAATCTTATGGTTATTTCGATCAAATCATGTACAGTACCTAATTTATACCATAATCAGACAATACCAACCATATAATCCAAATCAACCATACCATAACCAACCATAATCACTGCCTAATTTATAGAAAATTTAGAACTATGTTAAAAGTTTTTGTTCTGAATTATAAACTACAATTAAGATGAATGAGAGCATGTTTGAAATAGGCTTAGAGCAATTTCAGACAAAAAAATTATGGTTTTGAAGCAGATATGAACATATATGGCAACGTTACTTTTAAAAAGTAACGAGTAAAAGCACAAGTATTTTTAAAAAAAGTAACGAGTAAAAAGTTCTTATTTTAGAAAGTAACGAGTAAAAAGTACAAGTAAAAGTACAAGTACTAA